GTAATAATGTAGAAAACAGGAACCTTCATACACTAATGATAAAAATGCAATATACCAGTTTTTATTTTTTATTTATTGTAATGTATTTGGTACAGGGTCTACAAGGCCTCACTACACAGAACGGACTCATAGCAATTCTATTTTCCAGTTTCCAAAGTGCTGGGATTACAGGCGTGTGCCACCATGCCCAATCTCAATCACCATCTCCGGGAGCCTCAGGGGTGGGACCAGCAGGGCAGGCTGGGGATTGAGCCTACCCACCCACCACTGTGTCTGCTTAAGCAGGCGCTTTAAACCACTGAGCTATCTGCCCAGCAGTTTGTTTGTTTTTAAGTCCTGAGGGGGCACTCTCCCTGGGTCTTGGTAAAAGGTATTCAAGATAGAATAACAGCCTCACCAAAGATGTTCACCACCTCATCACCCTACCTGCTATGTTCTATGGTAGTGATGGCATTCTATTTAAAAATAGAATATCCAAACTGTAATCCAAAATTCATTTATCACAAAGTGCAAACACTACAATTAAACCTGAACTGTGAGATTTTCATTTAGAAAAAACTGTTATCTGATGCTCAGCCTGCAGGGTGACTTGGTTCCTGTGCTAACACAGAGGGTTCCATGTGCTCACTATGGCATGTGTACCATAGGTTCACCACCATGGCTACGGGAAGAGGGAGGTTTACAGTTGCTACTCAGGTGACCTTAAAACAGGGAGTGTAGCCAGGGTTATCCTGGCGCAGGCATGGGAACTATAGCCACAGGGTCACAAAGAACGGAAAGCAAGTGAGGAAGAGGCATGTGGCTGCAGTGATACTACTGGGAGGGAAGAAGCCAGCAGCCTCTAGGAAATAGAACAGACCAGAAAGCGGATTCCCTGCCTTTTCTCTGGGGGGAAACAAAGATCAGTCACCACCTTGATATCAGTCTATTGAAACCCACTTCTGATGTTGATCTCCAGAATCAAAAAGCAATGGATTTTTGCTATTTTAACTTTTGCTTTTCTCTTTTCTGTTTGTTTTCCTTCAGGCTGGCCTTAAACTACTATGTAGCTCAGGCTGGCGTTAAACTCAAAGTGATCTTCCTGCATCAGCCTTCTGAGTGCTGGGGTTAGAGGCATGTGCCACCATGCCCAGTACTTTTTTGTGTTTTATTCTGCAAGAAAGGGTCTCGCTGTATAGTTCACGCTGGCCTCAAACTCACAGTGATCCTCCTGCCTGAGTCTCCCAAGTACTAGGATTACAGGCATGTACCACCACCTTATTATTTTTTAACTTCTGCTATTTTAAACCACCAGGTGTGTGGTGACTTGTTACAGGAGCAACAGGAAATTCACAGAAGGCCTTTCTTGGGTCTTATGGGGTCACATAGGATAAAGAAGCCACAAAGTCAAGAAGACTGACCTAGAATATCTAGGACCCCAGAACTTCCTATCCCTGATCCAGGGCAAGATCGGGGGGGGCGGGGGGGAGTTCCACAATGGAACATCCAACTTCGAGGACTCAGCATCAGCACTTCTCTTTACATGTGACTATCCCCTGCGGCTTCACCCGGGAAGCTCTCCACTTGCTTGCTCCATTTAAAAATTAAGAACTTCATGACATTACCAAAAGAGAAACCTCATGTGGTGAAACAGAACAGGATGCAACTCTGATAGAAGGGGCAGGATCCATCTGTGGGGAGGACAAGGTCCAAAGAGGGTCACGGGGAAGGCCCCTCCACACAACAGAGAAGTCACCAACCCCACTGTACCCCAGGCAAACACAGAGCAAGAAAAGCTCTGGGAGACAGCACTGAGCATGCTGGGTCACACTGGATTCCGTGCCCTTCGGCTGGACTAAAGACTGATGTACACTCCCTTCCTCAGCAGGGGTGTCTCTGGCCCACGACTGCAGTCTTTCCCTGAATCACTGCCCCCCCCCCACAACTCAAGCACATGACTCTGTGGGACAGAGCTAAGAAGCCAAGACCAGGAGTATGGAGGTGGAAGCACCTGACTGGCTCTAGGCTCGAACCAGGGGTATGTAGGTCCCCACCACGCACTGGAGAGGCCACTGCTCATAGGATGGCCACCAGATGGCACTCCTAGGATGTATAGACCATCCACTGTGCCAGAGTACTTTTTCAGGTGCCTGAGCAAAAGGGCGATGTGACAGGGTGCAGATCAGTGTAGATATGTGATTAGTGCCATGGATTTGTACACTGTAGTTAAAATAGAAATCTGGAGCAGTAGCTCCTAGGAAGGATGAGACAGGAGGATCCCAAGTTTGAGGCCTGCTTATTTGGCGAGTTCAAGGACAGCCTGGACTACACAGTGAGACCAGAGACACTGTCTCAGCACCTCCTTAATAGACAATAAAAATTAAGAGGCTAGGAATGGGCAGGTCAGGGTACAGTGGCACAGCCCTGTAAGCCCAGTACTCAGGAGTGTGAGGCAGGAAGATCACTGTGAGTTCAACACTGATCTGGACTCCATAGTGAGTTCAAGAACAGCATAAGACTACATAGCAAGTCCTTGTCTCAAAGTTAATTTAAAATTTAAAAAAAAAAAAAAAACCTTGGAGCCTGGGAGATAGCTCAGTAGAATAAGCACTTGCCTGGCAAGCGCAGGGTCCTGAGTTCAATCCCAGGTACTGCATAAATACATAAATAAATAAGAAACTAAAAGGCTGGGAATGTAGCTCAGTGGTAGAGCTCTTACCTACCATGTGTGAGGCCCCAGGTTCCATCTCCAGCACTACACTCACACTAATGGTTGATTATAAAATGTTCATTGGTTGAGACAGGATCTCACTATGTACCAGACTAGCCTCAAATTCATGGTAATGTGTCTCAGCCTCCCATGTGCTTGGATTAAAGTATATGCTACCACAACCAGCAACATGTTATATTTTAAAAAACAAAGCAACCCACCTGCCCTGCCCCTCACATAAAACCTCAACTCCCACAATAGCTCCAAACCTCTACCCACTCCACCATGCCCCAACCATGCCAACCCCTTTCCATCCACCTGGCTGTCTTCATCTCATCAATATAGGCTCTGAGCCCTGGATTTCTGATAGGGTATCCTATGTAATTCAGCCCCAGGACCAACTGTGCATCCCTACTGACTTCCCGCCTGACAGCTCCTCTGGCGGTATACCCTAAAGGGGATGACAAATAGGACCCCTCTCTGAATTTCTAGCAGGAAGGTGGAGTTAACTCTCATTAAACACTTGGAGTGAGGCCTGCCTGGAATTGGGTACATTTGGCATGAGGCACCTAATACGGGCTGGTCAGCCACATGGAGGAAGCATGAGGCCATGGGGCAGAACCAGGGATCCCCAAGCTGTCTTGGATTGAAAATGTATCCAGAGGTATGTGGGCCAAGAGCTGTTCTCATGTGCCCCTGGGAGTGGCCCCTTCCCCAACAGTTGCCCTTCCATGCTGTTAGCCCTTGAACATGAGACTGGAGACCATTTATATTGGTTTGGGTCTAGAAACATTTCCTTTGATGGAGACCAGGTTCAGAATGTCCTGAACATCTGTTTACAGCTTCCTGCACCAAGAAATAGTTTTATCATACTATACTGGTAAAACTATTTTACCGTATTAAAAGAGGTAAGGGTCACTGACACATTACCATGAGTTTGAGGCCAGTCTGGTCTACACAGTGAGACCCAAAAGTGGAATGTTAAGACACTAGTCCCAGATATGATCCCACTTTCTGGTATTGGACCTCTACGTCAGAACCATCCTCAGATCCAGGAGGACAATGAAGTCTGCCAACTTGTAGACAGGCTCCATGGAGCCTGAAAGCTCACATTCCCCAATAGGGGAAAGCCAGCCAACAGTGCACTGCCCAAGCAACACTGATGGCACCGGATGTGGTAGCATACACCTGCAAACCCAGCACTCATGAGGCTGAGGCAGAAGGACTGCCCATGAGTTCCAGGGGAAAAAGAGTTGCAGGGCCCAGGGCCACTGTGAGACCATGAAATGGCAGCACCAGACAGGGTAGTCACCAAACACCAGGTGAGGAGAGCTTGTCACAGGCAAGGATCATGTGAAATGAGATTCTTCAGAGACAGCAATCAGAGCAAATGGAAACTCGATTACCTAAAAGTGTTCTGGATGGTGCAACTGAGGCTAGGCAAACCAGGCAGGCTAGGAAGCAGGTCCAAGGGTCCTGGGACCAAGCCGGAGGACTTTAGGCCACTGACACCTGCACTCAGCCCCAGGTGAGCTGGAATCCCCAAACCAGTGTAGACTATTGCCCCAAATGCAGAGTGCTTGGGGAGGTGCCCAGACCCAGACCCAGGCCATGGTCCTTCATCTTCCCAGCCAACTCAGAGGCAGTGAGAAGACTTCTGAAGCTACCTATCATCATATTCAAAGTCTGTTCTTGCAGCACTTCAAACAATGGATAGCTTCCACCCATCCCACCAGGCCACTGACTAGATTTCCCCCTCCCTCCCTTCTCTCACTCCTAATTCTTAACAGTGTTTGTTTGCTTCCTTGCTGGTTTTCAGAGACATGGTCTCATAGTTTAGGCTGCACAGGCTAGTCTCAAACTTGCAGTGATCCTCCTTCCTCAGCCTCCCAAGTGCCAGGATTACAGGCATGTGCCACCACACCTGGCTCTTAACTTCTATGGTTTCAGGCAACTCAGGCCTAACAGAGAGGCTCCTTTTTACCAGGAGTTGAACTCAGGCCCTTGCGCTTATTCTACTGAACCATCTCCCTGGCCCCTAGGTCCCTTGAGGAATCCAACTTTTTGTTTTTTGTCTTTTTTGAGACAGGGTCTTGCTATGCAGCTCAGGCTGGCCTTGAGTTTACGTTGTAGCCCAGGCTGGTCTCAAACATGAACTCCCGAAGATCATCCTGCCTCAGACTCCTGAGTGCTGGGATTATAGGCTTGCACAACACAACCTACCAGCTGAACCCAACTGTTTTTTGCCACAAGCCACATCTTCCCCAGAAGCCCCAAATGAAGCACAACCAAAACCCAGAGACAAAGCAAATCCTGCAGCTCATTTATGCAAGTCTACACCTCCAGGGTGGCTGCTACTCTGGGCTATGAACACCGATCTGGGATGGGGTGCCCAAGTTGCCCCTGGAGACCAGCTCCCGCAGATGCCCTCCCGATCAGTGTCCAGCTGGGGCTGGCCAGGCGTCCTCTCCAGCTGAGGTCTGAGTTCAGGGCCTGGCTTCCTCTGCCTGCCACACCAGTTCACCCGAGATGTAGGTGGCCTGGACATGGAGACCATCGTCGAGCACCACAAAGTCTGAGGCAGAGCCAGAGGGTAAGAGGGATTGGGAAGGGGCCTTGCACCCAGAGTGGAGTCACCCCTGGGCAAATAAGCCTGGTGGGAAAACTGAGGCCCAGGGATATGACTTGTGTGGGACCTCCTGACCCATCAAAAGGCTAACAAAGGCCCTTAACTCCTCAGTCGGGGACAAGGGACAATGCTCCCCACCACCACCACCTTCTTCTGAGACAGGGTCTGGTTATATAGCTCAAGCTGGCCTTGAACTCGCTATGTAGCCCAGGCTGATCTTGAACTAGCAGCAATCCTCCATCAACCTCCCAAGTGCTGCCATTACAGACAGCACCTCTATGCCCAGCTCATGGCCTTATCTTGGATGCCAGAAAGACTGGCAAACAAGAAAGGGAGGGCCAATGGAAGCTGTGGTGGCCACTGGATAGCTGGAATATAGGAGAGATCTACCCATGTGGACCCATCCCAGCCTCACCTTCATGGGGCCTTACCTGCATCAGCACCAAAGTCCAGGGTCCCCTTCCTCTTCTCCAGCCCGAGCAGCTGGGCAGGGTGCAGGGACGCAGCCTCCAGGGCTGCCTCCACACTGCAACCTAATCAGGGACACACCTTGGTGATAGCCCATGGCCCCTGTCCCACACACAGCTCTGAATCCCATTTTGGGGCCCGAGGTCAAAGTGGAATATTCCTGACCACCGGAACAGATTAAAATGAGTCCCTCCCCCAGCTTGGGGACACTGTTTATTCCTCTCTTCCTTGCCCACTCATATTCCTGACCCCACAAAGCCCCTCTCCTCCCTGACAAAGCGCTCTGTCCACACAAGACCCTCAACCACTTTCTAGGTCCTGTGGAGAGCCCTTTGCATGTAAAGAAATGCCCAGGCCCACCATGCTAACAGCCACACAGGACTGCATTTTCATTCCTGTAACCAAGAAGCCAAGTAACCACACTTTCTTCCCAATTTCTGTCCCCTTACCAGAGCCAAGGCATAGCTGTCTCCTGACTCCTGGGGAGCAGTCACCCTGCTGTTGCCACTTATTCCCTGCTCATTTACCCTTAAACAGCACACTGAACCCTGGTGTTCCCCAGCCTGCAGAATGACATCCAGCCTCGATGACCTGTCAGATACCTGCTTTTTCTCAGGATGTCCCTGCACAGCTGCCCCCAGATCCTGGAGCACCACCTTCCTGCTCCACTGATGGCTGATCCTACAGAGTGTTCCCATCCAACAGGGCCAGCCCTGGACCTTTGGTGGACAGCATGACAGTCCTTGTTCCATCTGGGGACCTTGGCTTCATTATCCACCTCAGCTTGCATAACCTGCTGCTCACTACTCTCCTCTGTCTTGTCCCCATTTCTAATGTCCACTTCATACCCTGGGAACCCTCTTGACAAAGCAAATGAGGAAGCTGTTGCAGAACCCTCCTCATCCCTACCTCCCCTCCAGCTCCTGCCCCACCTCCACATATGCATACCCACATGCATGGCCCACTAACCTGTGGCCTGGAGGAAATGTCGGACACAGACGTCCATAGGGGCTATGCTGCCACACAGTGTCTTGGTGCCTTGACAACAGAGAGGTCAGGCTCAGGGTATTGCATATCAGGGGTCTGGCGGGCAGCCAAGGGTTACCCTGGTTCTTGCCTCCCTGTGTGGAGGAGGGGTCAAGGGACTGTTCTTCATGAGCACAGTGGGTACTCACCTGCAATGCAGGCCATCAGCCCATCTACTTCCACGTCCATCTGTCCCAGGGTGTGACGGCCATTGCCCAGGCCCAGGGCAGGGATAGCATCCGTGATAAGTACCAGCCCTGGATAAGAAGGTGCCTCAGGACCTTGCCAGTCACCATCCTACCTGGCCCAACCTTCCCAGAGGCTCACCCTGGGGATGGGCCCGGTGGGCAATCCGCAGGGCAGCAGGGTTGGTGTGTATGCCATCAGCGATCATCCCATAGAAGATGCACTTTCCCGGGGGGAGCTGATCACTGGTCAGGAGCCCCACGATGCCTGGGTCACGGTGGTGGAACTGGGCAGTACAGGAGGAGACAAGTGACTGGGTGACAGAAGAGTCTACTGAGTCCCCACCTACCCAGATGCTGGGGTGGCACTCACAGGTAGCATAGCATTGAAGAGGTGGGTAATGAAGGTGGCCCCACTCTGTACTGCTTCCTCTGCAGCCTGAAGGTGGGCTACTGAGTGCCCTGTGTGGGGGACTTGGGGTCAGACTCTGCACCAGCCCAGGATCCCAGACAGGCCCAGCCATTTCAGATGACCCCCTTACCTAGGGACACACAGATGTCCTGAGCTGTCAGTGCCTGGATCACTTCGTGGCTGCGGCCCAGCTCAGGAGCTAGTGTCACAATGCGGACGTTGTCTAGGGACCCATAGGTGGCCAGCAAATCATGGAAGGCATTGACCTCAAAAGAGCGGATGTGGGCTTCCGGGTGCGCACCTCGTTTTTCAAGGCTGATGAATGGGCCCTCCAAGTGTACCCCTAAGGGAAGGTGATGAGGGTGACTCCAGTAAGGGTGACCCCACCCCAGAGCCCAACCACTGCCCTTCCTCCCCAACTGTTCATCTAGAGGAGGGGCCCTCCCAGGGTGGGGGTGGGGAGGAGGTCAGCCACTCACCGAGGACCCCTGCCCCATGGGGACCACCACTCTTCACAGGGATCTGAGGAAGGACCTGGGGGGAACCAGCTGTTAAAAGCCCTGGCCCCTTCAGCCCAGCACCCAGAGGTCATAGCCCAGCCAAGTTCAGGGATCCCAGATTAGAGGTCAGGGCCTTAGCTTGGCCCAGCCCAGCTGGCCATCTCCTCCAGAGTTAGAAAACAGGGCAGGCCAATGCCCCCCACCCCACTAGTGGTCATGAACAGGAAGAAATTACGGAAACAGAGATACTAAGTGGCCTACACTGAGGCCCTGAGGACCAGGACATGACAACACTCCCAGGTCACATAAGCAGGAGCTTGGGCATCCAGAGCGGCTCTAAGCTGCCCTGGCCCTCAGGGTAGCCTGTGCCCAGCAGAAGTTAAAATGCAAAGTGTATGGGGGGCAGTGGTAAAGAATCCCTTTGGCCTCCTTCAGCTGCAAGACAGGCTGTAGCTCCAGTCAGTTCACAAGAACAGCAGGGCAGAAGCAGGGACTGGAAACTGGAGAGCTCAGTGCAAGAGGCAACACGACTCAACAGCCACTGTAATCATGGAGTGCACAGCATGGAAGGAGACAGTGGCTCACAGGCTCACATTCAGTCTGGTCTCAGGGGCTGCAAGGCCAGGTAATCCAGCCAAAGGTACTTTATTCCAGCATATGCATAGTCACAGGGGCTTTCTAGAGTCTATAGCTCTGGAAGAGCTGTGCAAGGATGGTGGTTTGTGCCCTCCCTTGGAACTCCTCAGCCCAAACAAGAGTGAGGAGCTTTTAAGACCTAAACCCTATAGTACAAAGAGAATAAGGGAAAGGCAGTCAGACTCTGGGACTAGACACCAGACATTGCACAGATCTGGGCAGACCCATGAGATAAGAAAGAGCCCCACTGGCCTGGGTCTCACAGCCTCTGGCACTGGGACAAATACGCTGAGGGGATGGGGCAGGAGACTAGTAAAGGAACTGCACTACAGTACAGCGGGGTTCCCACACCTCCTATCTTAAAATGCCCAAACAAGAGAAGACTTCTATGCAGGGGAGGTCAAAACACAATAGAAAACCAAGTAATTAAGTGAAAGTTTATGTGCTTAAGCCCCAGAATGAAGACTCAGGAATCCTGACCTGTGGGTGTTCCCGCAAGAACTGCCCCCCATCCTAAAGCTGGATTCTCCAGCAGCCTGTTGGTGTCAGCCCTCAAACAGCACAGCTATCCAGGCAGCACAAAAATAAGCAGCCCACAAGAAAATTGAGCAGGGAGAAGCAGACACTGAGAGCAGAGTACAAGCAAAGAGCCATCACTAATACTCTCAGGGCAAGGAGAGGTCTTGGATCCACGATGCAAATATAGGGTATTAGAAGGGGCCGGGGAGATAGCTCAGTGGAATAAGCACTTCCCTGGCAAGCGCAAGGGCCTGAGTTCAATCCTTGGTTCCACCAAAAAAAAAAAAAAAGATATTAGAAAGGACCATTCAGTGGCCAATAAAACATGCTCTCTAAAACTAAACAGATGCAAGCAACAAAGCAAGAGAACTAAAAGATAAAAGCTAAGGAAATATCTAGAAAGTAGAATCTGGGCCGGCGAGATAGCTCAGCGATCTAAAAGCATCACATGCCACACTTGCCCCTCCCTCAGGGTGGGCTGTGCTGGCTCCAAAAAAAAAAAAAAGAAAAGAAAAGTAGAATCCAAAAAAAAAGAAGAGGAAAAGAAGAAAACAATAAGTGTGGCCAGGACACCCAAAAGTAGACTAGTGGGATTCCCAAAAAATGATACAGAAACAGGAAGACAAAAGTCACCAAGGAAGCCAGGTGTGGTGGCATACTTCTGTAATACCAACACTCATCAGAAAGCTGAGGCAGGAGGGTCACCATGAATTCAAGGCCATCCTTAGCTACACAGGGGGGTCTGCACTATATAACGAGACCCTATCTCAAACAAACAAGTCACCAAGGAAATAAATGAAGAAAAGCAACACTCCAAAGGAGAGATTCCAGCTGGACAGAGAACAGATCCTGCAAGCTTCCAGAGAAAAGAATCAATCACCCACAGAGGATCAGGGATCAAATGGCTTCTGAACAGTTACCCTGGAACTTCAAAGACAATTTTAACACTTCCTTTAACATTCTAGGGGAGAAGCCAGGCACAGTAGTAGTCCCATCTACTTGAAAAGATGTGAGCAATACAGATCTAATAAAAGTTACTGGTAACTACTTGATAAGGACAAGGGATTGGAAGTAGATTAGAGAAGACTAATCCTCATCTTCACCATTCCTGGTGGGATACAATAGGTACTGTCTTAAACCAAAAAGCAAGTAGGAAAGCCAGCATAGTGTGAGAGATAAATGGGTAAATTCAAAAAGAGCTAAATTGGAGAACCAGGCATGATAGTGCATGCCTGTAATCCCAGTACTTGGGAAGCCGAGGCAGGAGGATCACTGTCAGTTTCAGGCCAGCCTGGGCTACAAAGTGAGTTCAATCAAGGCCAGCCTGAACTGCATAGTAAGACCCTATCTCAAAAGACAAAAAAAGCAAAGAAAAGAAAGAGCTGAGTTGGAAGTGATAAGTGATGAAGCCTAGGGTGAGACCTGGTTGGAGGCAAAGGTCTTCTATTTTCCCCAACAAGCTATGTGGCATATACTTTTAAGAAAGTTTAAAAACAACAAGAGAACTGAATTTTCCTAGAACAGAGTTTTGAAAAGGAAAGAGAGTACTAAGTAGAGAGCAAAGAATGCAAGTAAGCATCTGGAAAAATAAAAAATAAAAAAAAATGTGGGGCCAGGGAGATAGCTCAGTGGAATAAGCACTAGCCTGGCAAGCGCAAGGGCCTGAGTTCAATTAAAAAAATTTTAAAAATAAAAAACATTGTGAAGGGAAGGCATGTGGGGCCAGAGGGGATGGCCTGGATGCCACGCTGAGGAGGTGCCCACTCTCAACTCAGCAAATAACCAGCTTAAAGGAGGGAACAAATGTCACCAGATTTGTCTCTTGGAAGGATAGCAAAGGGCAGGGCTGAAGGGAGGTGCCATCAATGAGCAATATCTTAATGCCAAAAGACCGGGGTAACTTCTGGCAAAACGGCAATTCAGTGTGTGGAAAGGACCCTGAAGAAAGAAAGGTGCATGATGGGGCAAGGGTCCTCTGGCTTCTAAGATAACACTGGTATTACATTTTAACATCCAAGGCCCTCTACAATCTCTACCATCAACAGTTTATACTCTGCCTTCCAAGGAAAGGTTTGTCAAGAGTCTTTAAGGTACTGGACTGCAGTGGAAAACAAGAAAAATAAACATAAGCACTATCCACTAGAGTCCTCTTCAAGGAAGAACCAGCTGTCTGCATCATGCTGGGCAGACTTGCTGCCAAAGCTAGACAAAGAAAAGGTGGCAGCAAGGGAGCAGCTGGCTATCAGGAGAACAAAGCCTTCCAAGGAGAGCTTCGGGGCAGGACAAAGGTCGCTTGGAGCTGCTGGAATGTGCTTGGAGAGGAAAAAGAGGCTCTTCAGGTGGGAAGGGAACAGCTCGCAGGACCCAGAGCTCGAGAACACACTTAAGATAACCAGGTTCCTGCTGGCAGTGGAAAAGTGAGTTTGGTTTGACATTTGCTGTGAAAGAGTTGTGGGGTATTTCTAGAAAGACATCCCTAGCTGTTATTTTACTCAGCGTTTAATATACACCAAATTATGCCTAGCACTCAATCACCATAACAGATTGAGACTAATCATTCCCACTTTTGGAAACTATGGCTCAAAAAAGATTTTCCTGAGTCTTTCATTGGACAAGTCAGGAGGCCAGGACCAAGCCCAGGAAGCACCAAGGTCACACACTACCCTCTTATCTCCCTGTTCTGATTCTGTGTGCACACATCCAGAAAGGGACATTCTCCGATATGAAGGGATCCTGTATTGGAGGGAAAACCAACCGGACAACTGACAAAATGGGAATGGACCAGATCCATCACAGTATGGCCAACAGTGGCAATTTCCTAAACTCATCAATTGTATTGTGGTTCCTTTAAGAGTATATTCATGCTTTTAAGAAAGAGTTAAGTATTATAAAATAAAGATGCATGATTTATGCAACTTACATTAAAATGATTCTGTAGGGGCTGGTGAGATGGCTCAGTGGTCTAAAGCACCTACTTGGAACAAGCTTGGCAAAACACAGGGACCACGGTTCAATCCCCCAGCACCACATGCCAGCCAGCCTCGCCCCCTGGTGGGCTGAGCTGGCCACACACACACACACACACACACACACATAAATAAATAAATAAAAATAAAAATAAAAATAAAAAAAAATAAAATGATTCTGTAAAAGACAACATTCTTGCAAGTAGAACCAGCACAAGTTAAAACTGGGAAGGAAAACCAAACGAGGATAAGAGAATTCTTTCTAATCAAGGAAGGGGGGAGCGGGATACAGTAGAGGGTAGCTTAGGCACTGGAGGAGTACCTCTTTGTAGGCGTGTTCAAATGAGTCATACACCACAGGCGGGTTAGGAAGTAAAAGCTCACCAAAGACAATGGTTATAGCAATCAAAAGTCCCCATGGAGCCTGGCCCAGAGGAGGCTGGGAGATGGTTAATCAGGTAGGAAGGTCCTGTGGCAAGTGAGTGTGCTAAGAGGTAAATGTGTAGTCAGTCTCAGAGGGAGCAGAGACTGGGAAGAGAGACAACTGATGGAGAAACTCCAAGGGCGGGGATAGAGAAACTCCACGCAGGAGGGGATCCAGAACCAAGTGGCAAGGAGGCCAAAGCTCCCTTGCCAGGAATGTGCTGTGAGGGGAAGGTCATAAAAATTAAGGGGCTGACTATATCTGGGTCCCTCTTAGCTAGGAGCCTGACCTCACCTTATGGTAAACCTCTGGTGGGGAAGTGATCAGGGTGGGGCAGAAGGAGGTGACACCGTGGGACAGGATCCTCTGGGCCACCAGGGCAACACCCGAACCCATATCCTCCATGGTCCTGGAGAAGTCAACACCAAATCCACCTGTGGCCACAGAAAAAAAGGGGTTGCACAGTGCTCACGGCTTTTTCCCTGGGTTCCCTGGCCCCGCCAGGCCGCACCGTTCATCTGCACATCGATGAAGCCTGGAGCCAGGATGCAGCCTCTGCAGTCCCGCTGCTCATCGGCCATGCGCCGCTCCTCAAAGAACAGCTTTTCAGGGTCCAGAACACGACCCCCACGTACCCATAAGTCCTCCCTACAGAAGGAATGGAGGCGCTCAGCAAGCCCGCCAGACCCCGCCCTGGCCCCCAACCTGTGCCTCCGCACCTGAGCAGCATGCCATCTCGCAGGATACGACAGTTGGTGAACTGAAGCACCGGTGCCCGCTCCGCGCCCTGCCCACTACGCATCGTGAGCCGCCCGAGCCGGCAACGCCGGATCCGCAGCGTTCAGGAAACAGTACCAGCAGCCGCCCCACGTGACCGTCAGCTGACAGAGGCTAGCACCACGTGACGAGCACGCCACGTGATGCCGCAGCCCGCGTGATCAATGGCGCCGCTGTGCCGCAGCCACAGGCCCGATCCCATTTGCCTGCCCTGCCCTGCTCCTTCCTACCCCGCCCCAAAGACTAAGACACAGATTCTGGTCACATCCAAGAACTTTATTGGACACGGCATGGCGCCAGGGCCTGGCGGGGCTGGCATTCTGCCCTCCAGACCCCGCAGGACGAAGGCGGCGGGAGGGTGGGGCCATCCTCGGTCTCAGCGCTGGGAATCCCAAGGCAACACTCTACCTAAAGGCTACTATATAGGTAAGAGATAGGGCTGCTCCACAGAAGTAGGAGCAGGTCAAATCTTTATAAATAAACATCCAGTGAAGAGAAAAATGACAATTCTAATTCATCCTTATACACAGAGCACTCTAGGACGATGGGTGGAGGGGCCAGGCGCCAGCATCCTCACTGATCTGGGGCCTGGATGGGTGATGAGTGGGCCCAGATGTCCACAGCATGGGGCTGAAGGGGCAGGCGGGGCAACAGACGATGGGCACTAGGACACTGCGCATTTACAAGACCAACTACGGAGAGGGCGGTGGCCCGTGGGTGTGTGTCAGGCTGTTCGTTCTGGAATGGGGGATGTTCTTTACATAGTATTCTGTGGCTGATAGGCTACTTTGTGGAGAGGATGAGGGCCACAATGAGACCGTAGAGGCCAAGCACCTCAGCGAAGATGAGGATCAGGATCATGCCCACAAACAGTCGGGGCTGCTGGGCAGTGCCCCGCACGCCGGCATCCCCTACAATGCCAATGGCAAAGCCAGCTGCCAGGCCGCTGAGACCCACACTCAGGCCTGCACCCAGCTGGAGGAAACTCCTGGTGGAGAGAAGAGACACAGTATTAGCAGCCTGCCTGCCACAGAAGATAGCAGCTACAAGGGCATGCCACACTCACCTGTAAAGAGTGATGCCCTCATTCAGGGAGTTGGCGATGAGGACTGCCACTACCAGTCCGTAGATGGCGATGATGCCAGCCATAACCACTGGGATGATGGACTTCATGATCAGCTCTGGCCGCATGACAGACATGGCTGCAATGCCGGTGCCACTCTTGGCTGTGCCATAGGCAGCACCCAGGGCTGTGGGAGAGAGAGGAGATCAGCCCAGAACAGCACTGCTCAGACAGGACCTTGACGGCAGTTTTGGCACAACTGTGAGAGATTCCCCAAGTTACCACTTCATGGGGGAAAAGGCCCCAAGAGGATCTCTGCAGGAGCAATAGCCATACCTGTAGCCATTTCTCCAGTCCTCTCACTGCACTCCCATGCTCCTTCTCAAGGTGGCTCTTGTGATTGTCTAGGGGTTGTGTTCTGTTATCAACCCTGCTCCCTGGCACTCCCCCAGCCTGCTGCCTGTGACAGCAGGCAGGCCAATCACATAGAACTAGGCCACTGGGACCCCAAAAGCCTTGGTTGAGATTCTAGGCACTTTTTCTGGTCCCACCTGAAGTCTCCAGTGTTTCTAAATTAGGAAAGCATGAGCAGACCCCAGCAGCCAGTCCCTGTTGGTCAAGGACAAACAGACAAATTGCCACCACAGATGGGGTACAGGCCCTGCCACCTCAGGGTCAGGAGCAGCTGATCTGGCATTTCCTGTTCTCCAGGCCGGAACTTCCAGACTCAACACCCAGCCTACCCAACTTCCCTCTACACCCAGTCCTAAAATGGCTGCCCCTTGGAGGACTGGACTTTGTCAGAAACGGTAGCTCTCTACACCCTCAGCCATAGATTAAGGCCTAAAACCTTTACAGATGAGAGGATGCTCCCTAAATAACCAGGGAGGGAGGGGCAAGAGTGAACCTAAGAGGAAACAGCATAAGGCAGATGATTGGCCTGTGGGGGTCCTCACCCAACCCAATCACAAGGCCTCAGAAAACCTTTCAAAGATGGCCCCTTCTTGCAATTCAGTCTTCACAAACTCCTACTGGATGACAAATTAGGGGAGGCCAGACTACAGAGTAGCCTGTCTCCTTTAGAACTATCCCAACAAATCTCCAGCAGATGCTGCCTTTTAAATTCTCAATTCCCCTCTCCTGGCCTCACCCTCAGTTCTTTAAATGCATCTCTTCTGGGGTTTGTTTTTTGAGACAAGGTCTCACTATGTACTTGAGGCTGGCCTCAAACTCATTTCAATCCTGTCACAGTCTTCCTAGTGCTAAGTAAGATTACAGGTGTGTGCCACCACACCCAGCGGTGCAACTCTTCTGATTAATGCCATCTGCCCTTCAGGATCAATGCAAAGACCTAGTGAGCTGCTAAAATAGGTCGTACTGCAGTCCTTTTTCTGTCTGGCCAGGGCATCCACATGAAGATCACTTTTGAGGAGTAAGTAGAAACTGGCTTAACCCACAGAAGACAACACAGGTCAGAGGTGGAAGGGGTAGGACAATCCCAACCATTCCTCTGCTGGGGATCTCTCTGAGCCAAAAATACACCTATGCTGTGCCCAATGCCAAGCAGACGTGAGGCTGGGCACTGAACAGAGATGGGGTCTGAGGGACTCTGACTGTGCCGCATTCAAAACCCCAGCAAGAAGACAAGACAGTAACCCAATATAGTAACGTTGGGGGGGGTGCTCTAAAAGGGCCACCGACCAGATGGTGCTGATTGGAGTAATGGGTGGGTAACAGGGAGCAAAAGACACACAAAGACAGGGAAAAGAGCAAGGATTGTGGACAGCACATACAGATACACCAAAAGACTAGGCAAGGGACAACTGAAAGCAGGAAACAAGGATTGGGACCATACTACCTGCTCCTCAGCACAGAGGTGGGCCCATCGCCAAGCCCAAACTCCCAGCAGTAGGCACTAGACTTGGGAGGGGTGATCCCTGGAACTCTACTGGACAGGCTACAATTTTAGGTTCCCTCTACAGGCCTAGTTCTATTGCAGGTTATATTATGCGCAAGAGGTCAGGGTCACAAGGCTCACACTCTTGGAACATGTCATTCCACAGGGAGAGTACAGGCTAACTCTTGGGATAGGGGCTAGGGAGATAGCTCAGTAGAATAAGCGCTTGCCAGGCAGTGCAAGGGCCTGAGTTCAATTCCTGGTTCCACAAAACAAAGACCCAAACCAAAACTCTTGGGATAGGAGGTTTAAAACACAGAAAACTTGGCACCCCAGGTAGTGAGACCCCGCAAGTGGCAGGAAGTAAGCTAGGCCCTTCCTCAAAAGATAGCATGGAGGTCATGTAGTTATGAAGTGGGGCAGGGAAACATGGGACTGATTGTGACAAACTTCAATGACCACCTGTAGCCAGAACAAGTAAGATAAAAACATGACCTGGTCAACAGAGTGGACCACAAAACCAAGTTGGTGGGACTGCAGAAGGCAAAACTAGCCACAACACCAGTACTGCCAACAATGCCAGTGTCAGTGGAGTCAAGAGCAGAGTCAGGAGTCAGTTAACAGGAACACAAGCACCAAAGTAGGGAGGAAGTCACAGAGAATACAGAAAAAGAGCAAAAAAGAGCTTCATGAAAACATGAAGAATCAACAGGATGTCATATGAAAAAAAAAAGGAAGCTAGAATGTGAGCGATGGGGTCTATCTAGGGTGCCTGAAATATGGATGGACCTCATTTGGTTAAAAGACTAGCAAGTGTGAGCTGGATCAAGGACACAGTTTGGAGTCAGTTCAGCAACAATAACCATAAGCCACCAAGTACAGAGGGCTTGCTCTGGTTACAAAGATGAAAGTATGTCTTGTGGGAAAAAAGGCACACTTAGAGAACAGAAATGAAGTTAGAGTGATTTAAGCTTAGCATGGTGGTGCACACCTGTAATCCTAGCACTTGGGAGGCTCAAGCAGGAAGATTGCTGCAAGTTTAGGGCCAGCCTGAGCTAAATAGTGAGTACAGGGGCTATCTCAACTATACGATGAGACCCTGACTCAAAAAACCAAAAAAAAGGGGATGGGAGATAGCTTAGCTTAGGTCTAAGCGCCTTGTGGCAAGCACAAGGAACAGAGTTTGATCCCCAGTACCGCATGCTTGCTGGCTTTGAAACACACAGCATGGTGGCACATGTCTGTAATCCCAGCACTAAGGGAGGCTGAGACAAGAGGATCACTATGGGTCTGAACTGTGCAGTGAGACCCTGTATCAAAAAAAAAAAAAAAAACTTAAAATAGTAATAAAAAAGTAATTCAACTGGCCAGGTCAGAGGTTAACATTAACAACCTAAGACTGTGTTAAGCCCCATGTGGAGAGCAGGAGTTTGGGTTGAGGGTACAGACAGATGTTGCACATGGGCCAAAAATTTAAGCTCCAATCCCCAGGACCCAGGACTATACATGCAGGAAAGATCTAAACCAGCAAGAACCTGTTCTTGGTGTGTAGACATCTGCTTACTAGATGCAAAAAAGCAAATGCTCACTTTGTTTTGTTTTTACCCCAGCATTGGGGATTAAACCTACTTGGGCATTCTACCACAGAGCTACACTCTCAACCTGTTTTATTATTTTGAGATAAGGTCTTGCTGGCCTATCTTTCTGCCTCTGCCTCCCAAGTAGCTGGGTTTATAGCAGCATGCCATGTTGCTCAGCCACATGCAAGTTCTTAATGGAGTGGGAAGAGGGAGCTAAGTGCAGAGAAAGAGCTGCACAACCCCTCTGACAGCCACAATGTAAGTTTCATATGGGCAGGAATCTTGTGTAATTTATTAACCCCTCCTCCCAATATGTGACACATAACTACTCAACTAAACTTGTTGAATGAATGGAAGTAGTCACAAACAGAAATCACTCCAGTAGCCAGACTCCAAACTCCTGGAGGCAGTCTGAGAAAATTACAAAAATCAGGTGCACGACAGCTTGTTTGGAGAAGCCCAAGAGATCTGGGCACAGCAGGTGTGGCCAGGGAAGGAAAAAAAGTCTAGACCACATCTCCCACCACAAATGACCCCTTACTCAAAGA